GAGGAGTATAAACTAGTTATTATTAACTTAAAGATTTAAAATAATAATACCTTTATAAGAATTACTATTATTAGTACTAAACTTAAATAATATAACCTCGATATACTTAATAAACTTAGAAATATTATTAATATTTTAATATTATTATAATAAAATAAGAAATTTAGAGAGATTAAAAAGAAAATCTAGAGCTATTAAAAAAAGCGAAAAATAGGAGGTAGTTTTTAGTTATTTAGAGGGTAATTAATATATTACGGCGGTAGGGTTATTAATATCTTAAGTTTAGTTAGTATTAATAATTACGGCTAGTTATTATTAGTTATAAAGTTTATTACGTAATAAAAACTCGGTATTAACCTTAGTAAACTAGCTTATTTATAAAGGTAAAGTTAGCCCTTAATAAGGCAGACCGGACCCTAAAAGGATAATATAACCTATATTAAAAAGATTTCTAGCTTTATAAAATATAGTTTCTAAGCTAATATTAATATATTAAATCTTAATATCCGTATTAACCTAGCTATTTATAATATTTATATTATTACTTAGCTAAATTTTATATTATTAAAAAGTACTTTATTACTTTTTAAGTATACTTATATTAGTTATAATAGTTATAGTATTAAGCTAGTTAAAAAGGGCGCCTAGCCCGAGAAGGGTAGACTTATTAATAAGTATTTTTAAAGTTCTAGCTTATTAATTACTAACTATATACTAAGAGTAGAATAGGTTCTTATTAAGGTAGTATTTTAATTAGCTAACTTCTTAACTAGTTATCTAACTAGCTATCTAAGTAGTAGTTTATATATTAATAAGTTTATTTAGTAAATTTATTTAGTTTAAATAGAGAGTAGTTTTAAGTAATATTAAAAGTAATAAGGATAAAAGAAATCTTTATAAGCTCTATAAATATTAGCTTATTTAGCCCCTTTTTTTTAAAAACCTCTACGTTATTATTAAAGTTTAGAACCTTTATAGTTAAAAAAGGCTACCTCTAATTATTATAGCTAATTATTATGGCTAATTATTATAGCTAACCTCTATTATTAACCTATTTAATTAGCGTTATTACATAAAGGGTAGCTTACTTATCCCGAATTATATAATAGTTTTTATATTAAAATTATTATATTACGTTAAGTATATACTTAGGGTATATTATACGTATTATATAGTTAAAAAGCATACCGTATTATATAATTTCTTTTAAAAGCGTAATCTTATTAAGGTCGATCTTTTGTACTTATAAAGCTAAAAAAAAAACTACTATATTAGCTATTATTTCTATTTATAATAAAAAGTTCTAATATCGCTATTAATAATCCGTAGTTATGAACTTTATAAGAGGGAAAGTTAAAAAGTTAAAAAATTTAAAAAAAAAATAGTTTATTAAGATAGTAGGAGTATCTATTAATATTATATATTGATATTATATAATTAATATTAAGAACCGCCCGAGTAACTAGTAAAGGTAGAATAAAAAAAATAAATAATAAAAAGTTCCTTAATAATCTTACGGTTATTAAGTATTATTTATAAAACGCTTATAGGGTTATTAATGTATTATAAAAGCTTTTTATATTATATTATATAAAGTCCTTATTAAATTTTTTTTAATTAGCTTAGTATTATAGTTTATTATACTATATTTATAATTTCACTATTTGTAAGACTTTATACTTAGGTTTATCCCTTTAGGGTCCGATCCGCCTTATTAGGGGCTATCTTCGCCTTTATAAATAAGCTAGTCTATTGGGGTTAATATTAAGTTTTTATTACGTACTTAATAAGACTTTATAACTAACTATAGCCGGCCATAGCTATTACTAACTATTAGTATTAACTAAACTTAAAATATTAATAATCCCGCTATAATATATAGTTGTTTTTTTCCGGCTTTATAGGCATAAAAGATCGACCTTAACGGGATTACGCTTCTAAAAGAAATTACATAATACGGTACACTTTTTAACTATATAATACGTATAATATGCCCTAAGTACGCGCTTAACGTAATATAGTGATTTTAATACGAAAACCGCTATGTAATTCGGGATAGGCAAGCTACCCTCTTCGGCTACTTACTAACAATAGGCTAAGCAATATACTCACGCGGCGGCGCCGGCCAGAATCCCGCTATAATATATTAATTACCTTTTTAATAACTAAATATTACCCCTTATTCTCTCTTTTTATCTTAATTTATAATAACCTCTTTCTAATATTTTTATTTAATATACTTACTTAGACTCTTTTTAAGCTCTTAATTATATTATTAAGTCTAAGTTTATTTATATTACTTTATTATATTAAAAGAGCGCTAATAAGTATAATATTTATAATAATATATTTATTTATTTTTTATAAGTTAATATTATAAATATAGTATTTATTAAAGTAATCTTTTTATAGCTCGGGGTTGTTTAGTATAATATTTATAAGATTAAATAACTTTTAGTTATTAAAAAAGCCCTAAGGGTGGATAAGTTATTAATAACGTCTTAATATTTTAATAAAATATATAGTGGTTTTTTTCCGGCTTTATAAGCGCAAAAGATCGACCTTAATAGGATTATACTTTTAAGGGAAATTATATAATATAGTATACTTTTTAATTATATAATACGCATAATATATCTTAAGTACGTACTTAACGTAATATAATAATTTTAATACGAAAACCGCTATATAATTTAGGATAAGTAAGCTATTCTTTTTAATAATAGTACTAGTTAAAAAGGTTAATAATAGAGGTCGGTTATAATAGTTAGTTATAATAATTAGCTATAATAGTTAGAAGCGGCCTTTTTTAACTATAGAGGTTCTAAACTTTAATAATAATATAGAGGTTTTTAAAAAAAGGGCTAAATAGGCTAATATTTATTACTTAGAGCTTATAAAGATTCTTTTTATCCTAATTATTTTTAATATTACCTAAAGCTACTCTCTATTTAAACTAAATAAATTTACTAAATAAATTTACTAAATAAACCTATTAATATATAAACTATTACTTCGATAAAAACCTATTTTATTTTTAATATATAGTTAGTAATTAGTAAGCTAGAACTCTTTAAAAATGCCCGTTAATAAGTCTACCCCTCTCGGGCTAGGCGCCCTCGGCTAGCTTAACGCTATAGTTATTATAATTAATATAAATATACTTAAAAAGTAGTAAAGTACTTTTTAATAATATAAAATTTAGTTAGGTAATAGTATAAATATTATAAATAGTTAGGCTAATATAAACGTTAAGATTTAGTATATTAATATTAGTTTAAAAATTATATTTTACGAAATTAAAAATCCCTTTAATATAAGCTATATTATAAATATAAAAAAATATATAAGGGGCCCCCTAATTTTTAATAAAAAAGAGTATATAATATAAGATCTAGCTACTTATATGGGCTAGTATTAGGAGGTTTTATATATATTAAAGTAAGTATAGCTCGCTCTCTAAATAGCTAGAACTTAGAGGACTATAGGGGAAGGTTAGGAGCTATTTTAATTAGTAATTAGGTATAGAGCGCAATATACCTAGTTTTCCCTAATACGTAACACATAGTACGGCCCCGGCGGATTGCTCCGTCGGGGGGTTTAATAAAGTATACTTAAATAAGTAAATAATTAGATAGTAATAATAATAGTAATAGTATAATAATACTAAATAGTAAGGGAAGTAGTATTTTTAATTTTAATAAAAAAAAACGAGATAATAAATATATATATATATATATAAGTTAAAGTTAAAAGTATTAGGGTAGATATTATAAAGTTAATATTATTTAATAATAGTAACGAGGGTATCTCTAATATTACTATTATAAATTACTATATTTAAAAAAGTAACTAACTTAGCTAAGTACGCGGGCTTATAAAGTAGTAGCGTCGGGTATTTAATAATATTATTAATAATCCGCAGTTATAAACTTTATAAGAGGGAAAGTTAAGGAAAATATAAAAGACAATTATTTATTAAAATAGTAGGAGTATTTATTAATACTATATATTAATACCGTGTATTTAATATTAAGAACTGCCCGAGTAGCTACTAGAGGTAGAATATATAAATTAATACTTAGGCTTATTAAAGCTATAGAGGATTAGTAGTAGGGGGTCTTAGTATTATCTAAATAAGGGGTCCTCTATAGCCTTTTTTAGCTTATTTAAATAAGAAACTAAGTAAACTTTACTCCTTCTAAATAGTTTTATAATTTATATACCCGTAATTATAAACTTTATAAGAGGGAAAGTTTAAAAAGGTAAAAGAATATCTAAAAAAAAATAGTTTAACGAGATAGTAAAAGTATTTACTAATACTATATGTTAATACTATATAACCGATATTAAGAATCGCCCGAGTAGCTAGTAAAAGTAAAAATAAAGAAATAAATAAAAGGGGTAATAAATAAGCTTTTCTTAACTACTCTTTATAAGTTCTATTTTATAATTATAGTTACGATATAGTACTAGCATATTACTTACTATTTTATTAAAAATATTAGTTTAAAGTTTTAATATTTTTAAAAACTTTATAGTAATAAGATCTTAAGTCTTTTAATTATTACTTTTGAAGGGGTCCTCTTATCCTAATTACTTATTTTTAATTATATAATTTAGCTTATATAATAATATAAAGCCTAGTTCTACGTCCTTATATTTTAAATTAATCTCGAATACTAAAGTATTAATAAAAGTAATATTTAAAATAATATTAGACTTTTTATATTAAATAAAGGTCTATATGGGTTTAGGTTTTATTAAAAAGGTTAATAACCTATTAATAAGTACGTAGTTTATTTTCTAAGTATTTTAAATATTATTAAAGCGTTATATATATCGGTTTTATATACCCAGGGGTTAATAAAATATCTTAATAAACTCTAATAGCGCCCGCTTCTTTTTTTATTACTCGTTATACTATATTATATTTATTTTGAATATTTTTATTATTATTTAGTATTAATTTAATACTAAACGTTAATAACCTTAAGGGTATTTATTTTTGTATTCTGCCTTTGCTAGCTGCTCGGGCGATTCTCAGTATCGTTTACACAGTATTAATACACAGTATCAGTGAATACTCTTACTGTCCCGATAGACTATTTTTTTTTGGATTTTCTACCTTTCCAACTTTCCCTCCTGCAAAGTTCAAGATCATTAACGGCGATACTAGGCGAACCTTAAGGGTATGTAAGTTTTTTTATATCCTTAACAATAATAAGGGGGCTATTTTATAATAATAATTCCTTAGGCTATATAGCGGTTTTTTTTTTAGCTTTATAGGCACAAAAGATCGACCTTAATAGGATCCCGCTTTTAAGGAAATTATATAATATAGTATACTTTTTAATTATATTATATATATAATATACCCTAATTACGCGCTTAATATAATATAATAATTTTAATATAAAACCTATTATATAATTCGGAATAAGTAAGCTATTTTTTACGTAGCGGCGCTAGTTAAAAAGGTTAATAATAGAGGTTAGCTATAAAAGTTAAAGGCGGCCCTTAACTATAAAGGTTTTAAACTTTAATAATAACGTAGAGGTTTTTAAAAAAAAGGGCTAAAAGGGCTAATATTTAACTACTCGTACTAGAGCTCGTAAAGATTCTTTTTATCTATATTATTTTTAATATTACTTAAAGCTACTCTAAGGATAGTTAGTATTTACTATAGGGATAAAGTAGAAGTACTTATAACTAAGTTCTATTTAAACTAAATAAATTTACTAAATAAACCTATTAAACGAACCTATTAATATATAAACTACTACCTCGTTAAGAACCTACTCTCTTAGTATATAGTTAGTAACTAGCGGGTTAATACTTTTTAAAAATACCCCTTAATAAGTCCCCCCCTCTAGGGCTTAATAAATTAAGCCCCCTTAATACCCTAGCTATTATAACTAATATAAATATACTTAAAGAGTAGCGTAATACTTTTTAATAATATAGAATTTAACTAGGTAATAATATAAATATTATAAATAGCTAGGCTAATATAAATATTAAAATTTAATATATTAATACTAGTTTAGAAATTATGCTCTATAAAGCTAGAAATTCTTTTAATATAAGTTATATTATCTCCCTAACGGAGCAATCCGCTAGGGCCGTATTATATATTACGTATTAAGGAAAATTAAGTATATTACGCTCTATACTTAATTACTAATTAAAACTCCCGACTTTCCCCCGCTTCTAGCTATTTAGAGGGCGAGCTATATTTATTTTAATATATATAAAACCTCTTAATATTAGCCCGCGTAAGTAGCTAAATCTTATATTATATACTCCTTCTTATTAAAAGTTAGGGAGCCCCTTATATATTCCCTTATATTTATAATATAGCCTATATTAAAGGGATTTTTAATTCTATAAAATATAATTTTTAAATTAATATCGATATACTAAATCTTAATATCCGTATTAGCCTAGTTATTTATAACGTTTATATTATTACTTAGCTAGATTCTATATTATTAAAAAGTACTTTATTACTTTTTAAATATATTTATATTAATTATAATAATTATAGTATTGAGCTAGCTAAAGAGGGCGCCTAGTCCGAGAGGGGTAGACTTATTAATAAGTATTTTTAAAAAGTTCTAGCTTACTAATTACTAACTATATACTAAGAATAGAGTAGTAGTTTATATATTAATAAGTTTATTTAGTAAATTTATTTAGTAAATTTATTTAGTTTAAATAAAAAGTAGCTTTAGGTAATATTAAAAGTAATAAGGATAGAAAGAATTTTTATAAGCTTTAGTACGAAAAGTAATAAATATTAGCCTATTTAGCCCTTTTTTATAACCCTCTATATTGCTATTAAAATTTAGAACTTCTATAATTAAGGGCCGCCTCTAACTATTATAGCTAACTATTATAGCTAATTATTATAGCTAACTTTTATTATTAACTTTTTTAGCTAGTACCGCTATAGGGTAGCTTACTTATTTTAAATTATATAGCGGTTTTCGTATCGAAATTATTATATTATATTAAGCGCGTACTTAGGATATATTATACGTATTATATAATTAAAAAGTGTACCGTATTATATAATTTTTTTTAAAAGCGTAATCCCGTTAAGGTCGATCTTTTGTGCCTATAAAGCCGGAAAAAAAACTATTATATAAGTTATATTATCCTTTTAAGGTCCGGTCTGCCTTATTAAGGGCTATCTCCGCCTTTATAAGTAAGCTAGTCTATTAAGGTTAATATCAAATATCTTTATTACGTAACAAAGCTTTATAACTAACTATAGCTAGCTATAGCCGTTACTAAATACTAATAACCCCGCCGCTATAACATATTAATCGCCTTTTTAATAGCTAAATACTACCCCTTATTTTTTCTTTTTATCTTATTTAATAATAACCTCTTTTTAATATTCTTAATTAATACGCTTATTTACGCTCTTTTTAAGCTCTTAATTATATTATTAAATCTAAGCTTATTTATACTATTTTATTATATTAAAAGGGTATTTATAAAAGTAACGCTTATTATAATATATATATTTATTTTTTATAAGTTAATATTATTAAAATAATATTTATTAAAGCAGTCTCTTTATAGCTTGGGGTTATCTAATATAATACTTATAAAATCGAACTTCTAATTATTAAAAAAGCCCTAAGGGTCGATAAGTTATTAATAATATCTTAGTATTTTACTAAAATATACTTAAAGTAAATAGTTAAATAGTAATAGTAATAGTATAATAATAATAAATAGTAAGGGAAGAAATATTTTTAACTTTAATTAAAAAAACGAAATAATAAATATATATATATATATAAGTAAAGTTAAAAAGTAAATATTGTGCTTATAAAAGTCGATATTATTTAATAATAATAACGAGGGTATCTTTAATACTACTATTATAAACTATTATACTTAGAAGGGTAGCTAACTTAGCTAGGTGCGCGGGCTTATAAAGTAATAGTATTAAGTACTTAATATTACTATTAATAATCCGTAATTATAAATTTTATAAGAGGGAAAAATAAAAAAGAAGAAGCAAATTTAAAAAAAGAAAAATAGTCTACCGAGATAGTATAAGTATTTACTAATACCGTATATTAATATTATATAATTAATATTAAAAACTACCTAAGTAGTTAATAAAAGTAAAATATAAAAATAAATAGGTTATATTATAAACGTAAAAGAATATATAAGGGGTCCCCTAATTTTTAATAAAAAAGAGTATATAATATAAAATCTAGCTATTTATATAAGCTAGTATTAAGAAGTTTTATATATATTAAAATAAATATAGCTCGCTTTTTAAATAAGTAATAGAAGGTTAATAGCTATTTTAATTAATAATTAAGTATAGAGCACAATATGCTTAGTTTTCCTTAATACGTAATATACGGTACGGCCCTGGTAAATTGCTCTGTTGGGGGGATTCCTTAGGCTATATAAAGTACTTATAACGTATATTAAAGTTAACTTTATAATACTTAAACTACTTCTATTTAAAAATTAGGTCGTAGTACTTTATATTAAGTTAGAATAGGGGTATTATTGAAAAGACTTAATAATTAATATATAAATTAATATTTTATATTATATTAACGTTTTTTAATTATTTATTATTAAATTTAGTAATAAGGATAGGGTATAATAATTTACTAAATAGGGCTATATTAAATTCTTATAATAATAGGGTTATATAGTTATTTATAAGATCCGTAGTTATGAACTTTATAAAAAAGAAAGATAAAAAAAAAAAAAGAAAATCTTTTAAAAAAAAATAGTTTACTAAAATAGTATTTTTTTTTATTCTACTTTTACTAACTACTCGGGCGATTCTCGATATCGTTTATATAATATTAATATATGGTATTAATAAATACTCCTATTATCTCAATAAACTATTTTTTTTTAGATTTTTTACCTTTTTAACTTTCCTTTTTATAAAGTTTATAACTACGGATTATTAATAGTAATATTAAGCGCCTAATACTATTACTTTATAAGCCGCTTACTTAGCTAAGTTTACGGCCCCTTTAGGTAATAATAGTTTATAATAGTAATATTAAAAATACCCTCGTTACTGTCGTTAAGAACGATATTAACCTCATAATATCTACCCTATTTTAACTTTATTTATATATATATATATTCGTTACGTCGTTTCTTTTATTAAAATTAAAAAACGCTACTTCCCTCGCTATTTATTACTATTACTCTATTACTATTACCCTATTATTATTACTATTACTATTATTATTAAATTATCTACTTATTCTTAAATATATACTATTAAAATACTAAAATATTAACTTATTAATCTATAGAGATACCTTAAGGGCTAGAAGTTCGATCTTATAAATATTATACTAAAGGACCCTAAATTATAGTACGATTATCTTAAGAAATACGGATTAAATATTATTAACTTAAAGATCGGAAATATTAACGTAGCTATTATTATAATTAGTACTTAGCTTATATAATATAGTAGCTTTAAAATACCTAACTAATTTCTAAGTATTATTAATATTCTAAAATCGCTACGTAGGAGTAAATTAGGAAGGATTAAAAAGAAATATTTAGTATTATTAAAAAAAGTAAAAAATAGGGGGTAGTTTTTAGTTATTTAGAGGGCGATTAATATATTATAGCGGGATTGTTAGTAATTTAAGTTTAGTTAGTATTAATATTTATAGCTAGCTATTATTAGTTATAAAGTTTATTACGTAATAAAAACTCGGTATTAACCCTAGTAGACTAGCTTACCCGTGAGGGCAAAGTTAGCCCCCAATGAGGCGGACCGGACCCCAAAGGGTACTAAGATAGTATAAGTATTTACTAATACTATATATTAATAGATACTCCCACTATCTTATTAGACTATTTCTTTTAGATTTTTTACCTTTTTAAACTTTCCTTCTTATAAAGTTTATAATCACGGATTAATAGCAGATAGTTATTTATAAATCCGTACTTATTAACTCTCGTATTAAACAAAACTTTAAAACGGATTCTATATTTATTAAATACTATTATAAGCTCGATCTTTAAAAACTACCCTATTATAAAATTATATAAGCTTATTAAATAAATTATTAATTTCTTTTTTTTTATACTTATCCCCTAGTTAAGAGGTTCTTTATATTAGGGAGCTTAGTTTTTTAAATTTAAAGCGTATTATTTATTAATAATATTTATAGTAATTATAATAGTATTTAGCTTTTTAAAATAGTCTTAG